CCAGCAATAATAGAGCCTACTAGACTGGAGAAATCACACTAGACCTCAAATTCACTAACAATGATGATCTGATAAGAAATGTCACCATAATCAAAAAACAATATACTCAGATCAACAACATAATTAGTTCAGACTTTATGCGAGGAGCCCCAGACCGACAAAATGAGACTAGTACACGAGAGCATTCACCAAAATTCACTTCATAACAAAAACAAAAAGTGGGGACCAAGGAAACCAAGTCCTAACCAATATAAAGCTGGGAAGATATACTTACCTACAGCCACAAACCTATCCTAGAACAATTTAACTCGGTGTCACTCGAATGATGCACAAGCTTATCCTCTAATAAGAAAAAGGAGAGTAGATGTAAAATAGAAAGAGACAGTCCGCCTCCCTATACAGTGCGACGGAAAAGAATACAGAGCGGGCAAAAAGGTCAATATAGCTGAAATGCGCAGGGAACAACTGTCAGACTGAATAGCAAGCATCGAACTTAATCTAAAAGACTCCTTTAGAGTCAGAATTGCGGAAGAACTAAAAGCTAAAAATGAAATCGAAAGAAACCCAAAGTATTTCTTCTCCGATGCCAACTCAATATCGAGAACAACGCCCAGTATTGGCCCCTACTTAAACAAGATGGGTCATACACTACACAGATGACGAGCAAGGAAATTAAGTGAGCTACTTCAATCACAATATGGAACACAGTTTTAGCAAACCGCTAACCAGACTGAAGCGAATATCAAAATGAATTTTTTATGAAGAGCCACCAAAATTTGATTAACACAAGAGCCTATCCGATGTTATCCTGACGCCCAATGACTTCGAACCGCGATAAATGACATGCCCAGCACTCTCCCCAGGGCCTGATCATGGAAACTCTGTGTTCATCAAGAACTGCAGAAGCCCCTATCACGAGCCTGTTCCATCCTATGGAAGGGAGCAATGGACACGGGGGTCGTCCCTCAGTGCTAAAAACTACAGACATAGCCCCACTCCACAAAGGGGCAGTAAAGCAACAGCAAAGAACTACAGACCATAGCACTAACCATCCCATATCATAAAATTTTTTGAAAGGGTCCTAAGAAGCAAGATCACCACGCCATCTAGAAACCCATCAGTTACACAACCCAGGCAACATGGGTTAGAACAGGTCGCTCCTGTCTGTCTCGAACTACTGGATTTCCCCAACTTTACCGACAAGGTCCTAAATGCACTAGAAGGAACCAAAAAGAATGCAGATGTAATATATCCAGACTTTGCCAAAAGCCTTCGACAGTGACCATGGCGTAATAGCGCACAAAAATGCGCGCTAAAGGATTAACAGGACAAGTCCGGTCGATGGATCAATAAAATTTCCTCACTAACAAACACAGAGAGTAGTCGGCAACAGAGTAAAGTCCGAGGCAGCTACGGGAAAAGCTCTGTTCCACAAGGCACAGTACTAGCTCCCATCTTGTTCCTCATCCTCATATCCGACATAGACAAGGTGTCATCCACAGCACACGTGTCTTCTTTGCAAGATGACTACCCGAATCTGCATGACAGAGTGTCTTCCATTGCAGAACACTGCAAGGCCTCCATGCGGACATCAACCAAATCTTTCATGGGCCTGCAGAACAATATGAAGTTCAACGATGAGAAATTTCAATTACTCAGATATGGTTTTAAAAAAAACATGAGGAAATTAAATCTTCATCAAGTACAAAACAAATTCTTGCCACGAATAGAGCGAAACACACGTCAAAGACCTGGAGTGATTATGTTCGGAGGATCTCACCTTCAAGACCATACATTGTATCAAATCGCGATCTGCTAGAAAAATGACAGGATGGATAATGAGAATCCTTCAAACTAGGGAGGCCAGCCCATGATGACGCTCATCAGTCACATGTTTCTAGTCTAGGCTGGAATATTGCTGCACTCTAACAGCACCTTCAAGGCAGGTGAAATTGCCGACCTAGAAAATGTTACAAGGAGCACTTTCTCGGCGCGCATAACGGAATAAAAACACCTCAATTATGGGAGCGCTTGAGGTTGCCTAAACTGTATTCCTGGAACGCAGGAAGAGAACATGATTAATATACACCTGAAAATCCTAGAGGGACTTAGTACCGAACTTGCACACGAAAATCACTCACTACGAAAGCAAAAGACTAGCAAGACGATGCACCATCCCCCCAATGAAAAGCAGGGGTGTTCATACACGTTAAGAGACCATAAATAAGTGTCAGGGCCCGAGACTGTTCAACTGCCTCCCAGCACACATAAGGGGGGATTACCAACAGACCCCTGGCCAGTCCTTCAAGCTGCACTGGACAAGCACCTAAAGTCATTCCTGATCAGCCGGGCTGTGGCTCGTACGTGGTTTGCGTCAGCAGCAGCAACACCTGGTTGAATCAGGCGCGATCCACCAGGAGGCCTGGTCACAGCCCGGGCCGCGGGGCGTGACCCCCGAAACATCTTCTACAGGTAAACTCCGTACAATATATAGGCAATAACATGTGTAAATCATCCACTCAGATAACTCAGGACAATTATTATAGGTAATACCATTTGTAAATCATCCACCAGGATAACATCAGTACAATTATTATAGGTAATAACATGTGTAAATCATCCACCAGGATAACACAGTACAATTATTATAGGTAATAACATGTGTAATCATCCACCAGGATAACACCGAACACTTATTATAGGTAATAACAGTGTTAATCATCCACCAGGATAACACAGTACAATTATTATAGGTAATAACATGTGTAAATCATCCACCAGGATAACACAGTACAATTATCATAGGTAATAACATGTGTAAATCATCCACCAGGATAACACAGTACAATTATTATTACCTGGAGAGAGTTTCGGGGGTCAACGCCCCCGCGGCCCGGTCTGTGACCAGTCCTCCTGGTGGATCAGCGCCTGATCAACCAGGGTGTTGCTGCTGGCTGCACGCAAACCAACGTACGAGCCACAGCCCGGCTGATCAGGAACTGACTTTAGGTGCTTGTCCAGTGCCAGCTTGAAGACTGCCAGGGGTCTGTTGGTAATCCCCCTTATGTGTGCTGGGAGGCAGTTGAACAGTCTCGGTCCCCTGACACTTATTGTATGGTCTCTTAACGTGCTAGTGACACCCCTGCTTTTCATTGGGGGGATGGTGCATCGTCTGCCAAGTCTTTTGCTTTCGTAGTGAGTGATTTTCGTGTGCAAGTTCGGTACTAGTCCCTCAAGGATTTTCCAGGTGTATATAATCATGTATCTCTCCCTCCTGCGTTCCAGGGAACACAGGTTTAGAAACTTCAAGCGCTCCCAGTAATTGAGGTGTTTTATCTCCGTTATGCGCGCCGTGAAAGTTCTCTGTACATTTTCTAGGTCGGCAATTTCACCTGCCTTGAAAGGTGCTGTTAGAGTGCAGCAATATTCCAGCCTAGATAGAACAAGTGACCTGAAGAGTGTCATCATGGGCTTGGCCTCCCTAGTTTTGAAGGTTCTCATTAATCCATCCTGTCATTTTTCTAGCAGATGCGATTGATACAATGTTATGGTCCTTGAAGGTGAGATCCTCCGACATAATCACTCCCAGGTCTTTGACGTTGGTGTTTCGCTCTATTTTGTGGCCAGAATTTGTTTTGTACTCTGATGAAGATTTAATTTCCTCATGTTTACCATATCTGAGTAATTGAAATTTCTCATCGTTGAACTTCATATTGTTTTCTGCAGCCCACTGAAAGATTTGGTTGATGTCCGCCTGGAGCCTTGCAGTGTCTGCAATGGAAGACACTGTCATGCAGATTCGGGTGTCATCTGCAAAGGAAGACACGGTGCTGTGGCTGACATCCTTGTCTATGTCGGATATGAGGATGAGGAACAAGATGGGAGCTAGTACTGTGGCCTTGTGGAACAGAGCTTTTCACCGTAGCTGCCTCGGACTTTACTCTGTTGACGACTACTCTCTGTGTTCTGTTAGTGAGGAAATTATAGATCCATCGACCGACTTTTCCTGTTATTCCTTTAGCGCGCATTTTGTGCGCTATTACGCCATGGTCACACTGTCGAAGGCTTTTGCAAAGTCTGAAATATATTACATCTGCATTCTTTTGTCTTCTAGTGCATTTAAAACCCTTTGTCGTAGTGATCCAGTAGTTAGACAGACAGGAGCGACCTGTTCTAACCCATGTTGCCCTGGTTGTGTAACTGAGGGGTTTCTAGATGCTGGTGATCTTGCTTCTTAGGACCCTTTCAAGATTTTTATATATGGGATGTTAGTGCTATTGGTTTTGTAGTTCTTTGCTTTTTGCTTTACTGCCCCCTTTGTGGAGTGGGGCTATGTCTGTTGTTTTTAGTAACTGAGGGACGACCCCCGTGTCCATGCTCCCTCTCCATAGGATGGAAAAGGCTCGTGATAGGGGCTTCTTGCAGTTCTTGATGAACACAGAGTTCCATGAGTCTGGCCCTGGGGCAGAGTGCATGGGCATGTCATTTATCGCCTGTTCGAAGTCATTTGGCGTCAGGATAATAGGTAATAACATGTGTAAATCATCCACCAGGATAACACAGTACAATTATTATAGGTAATAACATGTGTAAATCATTCACCAGGATAACACAGTACAATTATTATAGGTAATAACATGTGTAAATCATCCACCAGGATAACACAGTACAATTATTATAGGTAATAACATGTGTAAATCATCCACCAGGATAACACAGTACAATTATTATAGGCAATAACATGTGTAAATCATCCACCAGGATAACACAGAACAATTATTATAGGCAATAACATGTGTAAATCATCCACCAGGATAACACACAAAACGCTGACAAAGTGACTTATTTCCATTGGGATTCTTGTAATATCTTATTATTCAAACCTTAACAAATAAAACAGCTAAGTAACTCAATGAGTGAAAATCAGTTATAATCAAAGAAGACATACTAGGAATAAGGTAAAGTGAGTTATTTACATTAACTTATCCTAACTTACTAACCATAGTCTGGATTAGGAGGAACAGTTTTAATCCTGATGTAGTTGCGGAAGTTGGTAACAGCTGGATGTTCCATGGATGCTGGACGAGGGATGAGCAGAGTAAATATAGTGAGAGATTAACAACTGGTGACCACTCTATCTCTCTCTCTGGGAGACGCAGACAAACTGTAGTAAATGTAGTGAGAGATTAACAACTGGTGACCACTCTATCTCTCTCTCTGGGAGACGCAGACAAACTGTAGTAAAAAGTATGAGAGATTAACAACTGTGACCTCTCTATCTCTCTCTCTGGGAGACGCAGACAAACTGTAGTAAATATAGTGAGAGATTAACAACTGGTGACCACTCTATCTCTCTCTCTGGGAGACGCAGACAAACTGTAGTAAATGTAGTGAGAGATTAACAACTGGTGACCACTCTATCTCTCTCTCTCTGGGAGACCAGCCCAAACTGCAGTAAATGTATGAGAGTTTTAAAAACTGGGACCCCTATCTCTCTCCCTGGGAGACGCAGACAAACGGGTCGGGAATGTTTCCCCAAACTTACGGTTCAGTGTTGCCACCTCCCCTTTTTGACTTTCTTAACATTCATCTTCTCTTTTTTTCCATCTTCTCCCCTCCCCCATCTAATTTTTTCTAGTTCCATCTCATCCTCTTCCACGCATCTTTTAGTTTAAATTTTCCCCTCACCCCTTACTGCTCATTTGTGATTTTTCTCTCTTTTTTTCATGTTTGTTCCAGAAATTTAATTATCGTCTTCCTGATTTTTTCCTCCTCATCTCTTGGTTTAAACGCCACCTACCACCCAAACATTTACCCAGCTTATCTATCTTACTCCACTACACCTGAAAATAAACACCCCTCTTCTTATTTCTCGTTTTTTCACCTCATTTCCTTATCCTCCTAATATCCCTGTTTCTCTTTCTAAATTCTTTCTCCCCTTGTTTTTCTTTTCAACTTGTTCTGTTTCCCTACTAAAAAATCTAAAAACTCCTTTTTTCCCTTTTCTTTTTTTTCATTCAAAAACCCCCCACCTTTTTTAATTATACACTATATTCTACTCTCCCTAACCTTTTATTTACAAATTTCACAGCAACCTAGTGCTTATTCACTTTTTGAAGAAAAAGTTAAAACAATATAATAACCTTTGTAATATGTCAAGATACAAAATTAAGGGAAAAAAGAAACCAGAAAATTAAGAAAATTTTTTTCCTAATATGTTTATCAACAGTTCAGTCAAACTGTAGAAAAAAAATCCAGTGTAGCCCTTTTTAACTAACTGGGGCCTAATTCTTGGGTTTTTTTGGGGTATCTAAATACCCCTGGAAACTCCCAACCCGGGAGGGAAAAGGAGTGCACAATAAACTACCCCCTTTGGGTTTGGGGAAAAAAATTAAATTTTCACGCAGATAGTGACAAATCAGGGATAGCAGAACCCCTTAGGCTGTGCTGGGGCTGTAAGGGTTTTTAAAAGTTTGGGATTTTTTTTACACTGTGTGTAGAGGGGGAAAGAGCTGGTAAAGGTCAACCATTACATTTTTTCAGGGTTTTGGGTTTTTTTGTATGTATCTAACTTTTTAAGTAAAGGGGTGTTAACGAAGGGTTTTAAAAAATTCGAGGTTTGACTCTTTTGTTTTTTTTGATTATTCATAAATCTTTTAAAGCCGGGGAAGGGGGGGGGGGGCAGCGTATGGGGGCTTTTTAATACTTGTTTTGTGACAGACTTGGGGTTTTTGGTATAATTAAAGGGAAAAAAAATTTTTTTTTTCTCTGATGTGTCGACACATGCGAGTTTGCTTGGGGGGTAGTGTGTAGGAGGGGGGGTAAAATTCCCCTTAAATTTTATAAGTGTTTAAAATCCTAAAGACGTGGGAAGAGCCGGTATGTTTTCACCCAAACGGGATTTTGTCATGTAAATTAAAACTTTTTTCATATCATGTATCTTGCATGAAATGTTTTTTAAAAAAAAATAACATTTAAAAAATAGTCATGAATTTTACGAAAAACCCCGGGGGCAAAGTTGATGAAACTCCGTAATTTCCCTCCTTTTGGGGATCTTGTATGTGTCTCACAAGGGGAAAAACTGAAGTTGGAGGACCCTCAGCATTGTGGGAAAAAAAAATTTTCCCAAAAAATTTTTGCTGGTAAAAAAAAACCTACATTACTATTGCTCTAAAGTGAAAATTTTTAAAAAAGTGAACCGGAGGGAAGTTCGCGCCGCGCTGACGAAGGGGGGGAGAGACACCATTGTTTTTGGGAAAGTGGTACAAGCAAGCAAAAGTAATGTGCATAATTTTTCGTCGCTCTAGAGGGTTTTTTTTGGGCTTTTAAAAACCCCCAAAAAAGGAGCCGAAAATTTTTGGATTTTCATCCTGCATAACGTGAGCAATTAAATTTAATTTGGGAGGAAAACTCCAGAAACCCCCTAAGTTTTTCTAATTTTTTGTTTTGATTTTGGCCAGTATTTTTATCATAAATTTTTGGCGGGGGGGGGGGTTCCCGTAAAATGACACACCGTAAAACTCCAGACAAAAAGGGGGAGTGTTATGTTATAAATTCCCCCTTCTGTTACATAAAAATTTTGTAAATGTAATCATTTATTAATTTTAACATTCAGTCCCAAATTTTATATTGAGTTTTAAAAAAAAAATTCCTGGCAATGTAATTTTTTTGAAATTAATATAGGTTATAGTGACTTTTGGGTAAGACAGTTGTAGGTATGGAAGGGGGACATTTTTTTGGGGACCTAGTGTCCCAAAATTCCTACATGTCTATGTAACTTTGATGAATAATAAAATTAATCTCGTTACCATTTTTTCTGGTATGTACCTTTGAGTTACCCCCAGGTAAATTTAAATTTTTTCCAAAAAGCATTATGAAAACCAACAAAGTCCCCCTTTAAAAGTTTCCCCACAAAAATTTTTAACCCCTCGATGGCTTCCCCCCCATCTTTGTAGGGTAATGTCATTTTCGCCACCAAAGGGCCCAGGTGCAGAGCAACAAAATGCACACCCGGCAACCCCGGTAGGGCCTCTTCGATAAGAATTAAAATGAGTTTAATATACAGAAAAATAGTTTAAATATCTGGCAACATTTTGGCGCAAATCCCATTGTAATACAATATTTCTACAGCAATTTTTTTTATTTTATATTTTATTTAAAACATTGCACAAATACAAGGAGGTATAAAAGTATAATAAAATGAACCATGATACTGGTTATGAACAATAAACTCCAAATATCACAACCCCAGTACAGAAAATAAACACACCATACATAATGTCAGTATTACACCCAAACACACAACTCACAACATATCATTCAAAACTCAGCATTATACAAAGTATTACTATTGCCTGTGCTGACACACAGCTGACGCTTCTATATCCCCCCCCCCCCGACTCACACATTAAAATTATATCCACATTTCCCCATTCTGAAGAATCATAACATTAATTAAACGTAAATTTAGGATCATGTCCTGAACTCGTCAATAACTTAATAATAATTATTTATATGAACAAGGTTCTCCACATGGCACAACATAATTTCAGTAAATTAGAAGCACCATACCAAAAGCCATTGTAACAAGTAACACACAACGTACAAACATACCAACTATTATCACAAATTCCACATAACGAGACATTCGCTGTGTCCGCCAGTACGTGCCTAACTAGAACATTATATTCTTGTAAAAGGTTTTTCAGAAACTTATACGATACACAACTGTACATTAGATATTAATGTAGATAACTGGTCCTATTTCACATGACTTAATAATAGGTATTTACATTTCAATGGTGATGCAGGAACCACATTACAATAACATACAAATAAAAACACAATGTTTCAAAGAATACCTGGAGTTTACCTGGAGTTTACCTGGAGTTTACCTGGAGAGAGTTCCGGGGGTCAACGCCCCCGCGGCCCGGTCTGTGACCAGGCCTCCTGGTGGATCAGCGCCTGATCAACCAGGCTGTTGCTGCTGGCTGCACGCAAACCAACGTACGAGCCACAGCCGGGCTGATCAGGAACTGACTTTAGGTGCTTGTCCAGTGCCAGCTTGAAGACTGCCAGGGGTCTGTTGGTAATCCCCCTTATGTGTGCTGGGAGGCAGTTGAACAGTCTCGAGCCCCTGACACTTATTGTATGGTCTCTTAACGTGCTAGTGACACCCCTGCTTTTCATTGGGGGGATGGTGCATCGTCTGCCAAGTCTTTTGCTTTCGTAGTGAGTGATTTTCGTGTGCAAGTTCGGTACTAGTCCCTCTAGGATTTTCCAGGTGTATATAATCATGTATCTCTCCCTCCTACGTTCCAGGGAATACAGGTTTAGAAACCTCAAGCGCTCCCAGTAATTGAGGTGTTTTATCTCCGTTATGCGCGCCGTGAAAGTTCTCTGTACATTTTCTAGGTCGGCAATTTCACCTGCCTTGAAAGGTGCTGTTAAAATATTTACCGTCTCAAGAGAAGTTAAGAATTACACATGCAAGACTGTTACAAGTAGGACACATTTTCCTCCAATTAAATAACTTCAGGCTTGGTCAGTAACTAAATAAGAATATACGTGCATTCAACAACATGAGCAATTAGCCAGCAGCACTAATGTTCTTCCGTTAAGGAACCTATTACCAAACTCTCACAATTTGCAGCATTTACAACATGACAGGAACACTATATCGTTTAACAATGGTACAGCTCTTATATTAACACATGTCATTTATACCTTCCCCACAAGGGAACTAATGTTGTTTAAGAATGGTATACAATACCGACAAGATGAAATTAAGACACATGTGCAACATCTGGGTATCTTTATTGTAGACGTTCCGCCATCCAGTGGCTTTATCAATACAAATTCCAGGATATAACTTGAATAGTAGAACTATGTACAGAAGATGAGGTAATCAGTCCCTCAACCTCGGAGTAGGTGCGAAGAGCACCCTATTTAGGCTTAAGGCTCTCTTTGAGAACTTTCAGAGTTCCCATTTAACTGTTAATTTATCTAAGTCTTCCTTTGGCCAGGCCACTGTTACTTTTCTAGGCCATGAAGAAAGGTAGTGGTAAAGTTGCTCCTAAACTTGCTAAAGTCCTCATAGATCAAGTGAACAGACCCCGATCAAACCTTCCTATTCCAAGGTTGCAGGATTGCCAGATATGTTTCCATGACCTCTTCCATCAGGCCCATACAGTAAGACGAGACCTTGATTTCTTTCCAAGTATTCTGGCCAGTTTCTGGGGGGAATTTGCGAGTGAGTT